TGTACTCCGATGAAAAGCACGCAGCGCTCCGAGGACAGCTTCAAGTTGGAGCCCCTTTGGTGCCATGATTCGGAGCGCGGGCGCTTCAGTTCCCACGAAAGACAGGAGGCGCTCTAACGCCGTCACTGCTCGACAGTCCTACCTGCTTGCGATGAAAATGAGAAATACAAAAACATCGTGACAAAACATCATGACAAACATGACCTTGTATCATGAGCCATGCCGGAGCTTGACAAAACATCATGGCAAACATGACCTTGTATCATGAGCCACGCTGGAGCTTGCTAGAAAGGCTGCGCGCAAGGCAGTGCAGCTGCGTGTCGCTTTCAAGACAGTCTTCTGCAAGGCTTTGCAGGGCGCGGACCAACCGCTCTGGGGTTGCGGCGCCATACGCATCCATGGCGACAAAACCAGGAATGGCTGCGGGCGGGTTGCGATTGACCGCTCTGACACCGGCACTGCTCGACAGTCCTAGCTGCGTGCGATGAAAAAGGAGAACAAAAGAAACAAAATAGCATGACAAACGTGACCTTGTATCATCTGCCATGCCGGCGATGCAGTACACTCACGGGATCCATGTAATGTTTAATGTTCGTGCATCTCGTGCAATCGTTGTGATACGATTCTCGTGCTGCCCTGATTCCTTCTCCGGGTATTTCCTTTAGGGGAGGCGATATCTCCCGAAGCTTTACGGTCTCAAAACGCGCGCGACACGCGCGTTCTGCGGAGTTCCCCATTAGGGGTTACCCCCTAGCCTGACGGATTCAGAACGCCATCGGGACGCGCCGCCGGGACGCTGCCGGAACACGCCTCCTGTGGAGTTCCCCCTTTAGCTTGACGGATTCAGAACGCATGCGGGACGCGGGTTCTGTGGAGTCCTTAACAGCGCTGCGCGACACGCCTCGCGTCACACGCGGACGCTTGCGGACGCTGTGCGGACGCTTTGCGAACGCTTTGCGGACGCTTTAACAACGATCGCTGGTCACCTGCTGGACCCCTGGACCCCGGGACCCAGTAATACTATTTAATACTAGCAATATTGGTAATACTAGTAATACCAGTAATACTAGGAGTACTAGTAGTACTGGTACTACTGCGACTAGCCATCCCCCCTCCTACCACCTGCGGCGGAATCCATCATGGTTGCCGATCATTTTCACCATCATCCTCACCTTCGCCATAACCAGCATTCTCACACTCATCAACATCATCATGATAAACATCATCATCGTCATCAGCAGAACCAACATCATGGCATGGTCATAGTCGTTCAAAATCCACGAGTGGCTTTGGAGGCAAAATGAAGTGGCATGACACGACGAGCACACCGTAAAAGCCGAGTAAAACCCACGCGCTCTTCAGAGGCTTTGGAGCAAGTGTCGAGGGAAGGCGGCTCCAGCCTACCAAGCTTCTCAACATATGTGCAGCAACTGCTTAAAGCTGCTATGTTCGTCATTAGCCCCCCGCCCACCCCACCCCCGCCCCCCACCCCCCCATCCCACCCTCTCCCCAACCCAGCGCACCCGCCCCGAACGCTCCAAGAAGAAGTGGTCTGACACGACGATCGTACCGTAAATATCGAGTAAAACGGACGTGCTCTTAATTGGGTGCATAGCAAGGGTGGTTGGTAGGCGGGCAGCGGGGGGGGACCTTTTTTGAACCCGGGCTTGCTGGCTGCCAGGACTGACCCTCCGAGCGGGGGGGGACCTACTACTACTACGGCTACTACTACTACTACTACTACTGCTGCTACTACTACTACTACTACTACTACTACTACCACCGCTACTACCACCACTACTATCACTGCTAGCAGCCCTGGCTGATTTCGGAGTGCATTTTCTTATGCTGCATTCCAGGTCTTTAGCCAAAGTATGGTTTTGTGTGCTCAACACCCCAGTTTGAGTGGATGTTGAGACACTAGCCTTTGCTTTCCTACTTCATCGCTTTTTCAGCTTGGCCACGTGTTTCAGAAAAAAATGCTGAAAACCCACGGAAAACGAATGAGTGCCTTAAGTCACGAGGTTTTCTGCGCGCCTGCGACTTACTACTAGACCAGATACCCTCATGTCTGCGTATGCTTGCGTCCGTCTGATCAGCGGATTCCTCCCTACCCTTGCACCTAGGGAACACATGAAAATGCTCATGGCTAGCACCCGCAGCAGGTTTTCCATATGGTCCTCCAAGAGAATAACGACGGCGTGGAACCGAAAGTGCGGCCTGGCAAGGCCTATAAGGCCTAAGGCTGCGGCATCGTCAGCACAATCAATCTGATTGAAACCAACTTGTGTCCTGCTGCAAGGAACAAGTTCTCAATACTGAACTGTGGAACTTGTCACACAACACCCACTCGCGACTCTTTACACCGATAACCTGTCCCAGAACCTCAACAGCTGTGCTTCTCAAAGACAAGAAAGGAGCTGGAAGCGGTGTGCGCTTCCCCCCAACTGCGGTGGCCGAGTGGGGTGCGCCAATCGAGTCAATGAGACGCACGGCCTCCTACTATTTGCTGAGAAGAGAACCTGAAACACCCTGAAAATGCTGGAGACATCACTTTAGAGCGGACGAGGCTCAGGGATGGCCATAACAGCCTTGAGGCTGGAGGAAAGCCCTGAGTTCCTGTCAGGGGCCTCCTAGAAGCGGTGGGCCTGATGCTTCCAGAGACCAAAAAACGGAGTGGGGGCTCGCACACATGCCACTCTTGAGAAATTCAACTGCTTGCTCGCATTCTTTGCGGTCGCGGTCGTTCGCAGTGGCAGTCTACGCTGGCAGAATTCTGATGATACATCCCGTCTACTGTTGCGAGCAACTGCATCCCTCCAACGCTCCAGGAGGAGTGTCTCAGGATGTTCACAAGCACGCGGCCTATCTCCTGTCTCCTGTGTCCTCAAATGAAAGAAAACATACCCCGGACTTGCGCGTCCTCTCCGACAAAGACGAACGGTGTGGCTTTAGCGACAGGCAACCTACCATAGCACATTTGAAGCGTCTTCGCTGCATGAAGGCCGCTGAGGCTGTCACTGCAATTGCTTCATCGTATACCCTGGCAGCGATCACACACATGGACAGGGGGCTGCGCAAACTTGCAAACTCGCTCGAAAAGACACTTACACAGCAAGGCTAGCAAGGTTCCGAGTGATAAAGTCGCTGGAATGCTCGGTTTGATTACGTATTTATAAACCTGAATTGAAGACCGGAATCTGATCGGACAGAGCTTTAAGCACGTGGCGCTGGCAGGCTGGCAGCGTTGTCACTCCTGCGATAGATCGACCTGCAAATGACAAGGAGACGAAAGTGGGACAGCACAAAAACATCAAAAGACTTCGAAGCAAGCGAGCCAAACATAGGACCAAAAAGCGTGACTGCATGAAGAAACCGCACAAGCCGTCATTTTCGGTCAGGTGCGAAGAGAAAAGTGTTGGAAGGGGGACTGGCACCTAAACGCTCAAGCCAAGCTCGCCTCGGCCCCGGCCGACGCGGCCAGAGGTTATTCACCTCTTAATCCCCTCCCCGGTCCCCCCCACCAGAAACGGCCCACCTGACCCCCCCCCCCGGCCTCGTCTGTGTGAACCCCTGAAATCTCGCCTCCTGCAATGGATTTGGCTCTCTAGACCAGTCCCCAAGTGCCCCATCGCATTGCACCCCCCTCCCCCCCCCACCCGCCCTCACCTTTGGATGTTTGCGAGTCTTTAGGGCTCTCCAGGTTTGAAGGTTTACTCACGGACATTGAGGTTAGAGGTTTGAGTCATACTGAAAGTTACAAAGTACCGTGCATAGAGAGGACTTGTGCAAAAGCAGTCCCCTGTACACTCAGATTGCTTGGTTTTGGCGCCTGCAAGATCTCGGCTCAAGAATTCTCTTCGGCAAAGCAACTTTTCACAGGGTGGCGATGCAGGCTCCGGATACCTTTGACAAACAAATCCAACCAAGTCGGCAACATACGTGTGCAGCCGGGCCGAGCCGGTCGACGAAGCATTGAAAATTATATATCAGCAGACTGCTAAGAGCCGAAAAGCGTGGAAGCCAGGAGGAGTCTTGACGGAGTCCCATGCGCCCGCGCGCACACACATGCCCACACAGTCACTGTCTTCAAAGCCAGTCGGTGGGTGTTCGTGTCCACCGACCGAGCTGCCACGCCTCATCTGGTGGGCCCTTGCCCAGCAAGTCCCTGAATGTTATGTTCTTGAGCCCGCCACACAAACCAGAAACTGACAAGGATTCTACTTTGCATTTTTGCTTTCTTCTACAAAGCCAATCGGAAAGCGGCGCTCCCCTCCACGCACGAATGCGCGCTGGTCCCATAGTCCGGAGTGAGACTGGCAGTTCGATGAGGTGAAGGCGGCTCTGCCAAAAACTCTCTCTCTCCCTCTCTCTCTCTCTCTCTCTCTCTCTCTCTCTCTCTCTCTCTCTCTCTCTCTCTCTCTCTTTCTCATCCTTCTCTCTTTCCTGCGTCCCAGGCCTGCGACACCCGGAAGTATACGCAAACATGCGTGTTTTGGCGGGGTCTTCCGACATTCTGCCACTGCTATGTCCGCTGTCACGCGCATGAGGCGGGGAGATAAGTACTGGTAGATGCTTGCAGTTGTCTGGAAGAGTCGTCCTACATGCTTGAAACAACTTCCAATTAGTTGTGTGACATGCTTATCAGGCACTTGGTAGTTATCTTTTAAGGCATACGGATTCGCCCAAGACATCCCGCAGAGAAACTGACAACTACCGCATATCACTTCTTCCGAGGTTGCCCTTGCTGAAGCTTTTCTGCACACTGCAGTACTCATATTAACCCTGGATCCTGGAACTCTACAACCGAAAAGCGGAACATCTCTGGCAGCCGTCGTCGCCGATGGCTGCCGTGGAATGTGGGGGCGTGGAGTTCGAGCTGGGGCAAGGAGGAATCCAGGAATCCGGCTGATGGGGGCTTTGGATGGGCTTGGAGGTTGCTGTTGAGGAAATCTGAGGGCCTGGAAGAAATTTGAAAGATAGGAGCCATGTACATACCGTCATACACACACAGAGATACATTCATTTGCCCGATGCACGGTTCGCTCTCCTGTCGCGCTCCTTCTCGGACAGCCCAGGGCCTCTTGGCGCTTAAAGGCTTCACCTCCGGCTGGTCTGGTCTGACGCCGCAGCGCCATCACGTCTATCAGGGTAAGGGCCTGGCAACATACAAAGCAATCCTTCAAGGCGACTCGCTCGATGTAAATGCGCATCGTGTTGTCTCACACTGTTGGGTGTGTGACCTTCCACTGTCAGCAGTGTTGTCCGAACCTGGCCTGCTGCACCGGCTGCGTGATGATGAAGGCCTTGCTCTTGCGACTTAAGATATCTCATGCGTCCTCAAGAGCCGCGAGGACACGATCCACCTCTGCGGACGGGGGCACAGCATGTCGTGGCTCAACGCCCAGTACAGCGCAGTCTCTCACCAGGCCTCGCTGAGAGAGTTGTAGTGCAACAAGTCCAAGCCTTCAGCGCCACGCTGCAACAAAACAAAAGCGGTCCTAAGGTTCAGGGTCCGGGACTGGCACGAGCCATTCCCTCCTCGTTGGTCGCAAGGCCGCCGCTGTGTGCGTCCCAGAACCCAGCATAGTGGTTGCCAGCAGTGCACCAGATGCCCCTGTGTCGAAGGCACGAAGCACAGGGTTTTCTGACTATCGCCCCGCTACGGGGTCTCGCTCGCACCTGCTGCAGAGCCTCTTGGCAAGCTCCTGTGAAAGCCGAGACGTGGAGGCGTGGCATGGCATGGAACTGCTGGCATCAATGCGTGTCTTCTCCTGTGGTGCGAGGCTTTCCTTGCACACGGCGAAGGTGGCAGTGCGATGTGCGATTCGGGCCGGATCCTGTTCCCCCAACCTGGAATGCTGTCCCCGAGCACAGATACAGCACCAAATAAGACTGCCTGGCCAAGTGCCCAGCAGGTGGACTGTCCTGATGCTCTGCAAGCCTTCCTTGACAGAGGCACAGTGCTGATGTGTGCTGGTGACGGGATCTTGAAATCATCTCCACTGGAGATGAGTCGGGGACCAAGAAGCGGCGCTTCAGATCATTCTCGTGAGCCTCGATGGCGTGCCAACCTGCACATCGCGGTTCGCTTTCGGAACTCTTGATTTCTTGATCCCTTTTACACAGCCGGCCGGCCTGCTTCAAGGCGCTCTGGACGTGGCGCACTTGGAGACGCCCCTCCGAAGCGGTGGCCCAAGTCGGCCAAGTAGTTCACGGCCTTGCGTGCACTCGTGCAGTCAGCTCTTCTGGCGCCGTCGAAGCCGTAGCTGCCGAGGCCGGGACAGCAGTGACGCCTGCCAGGGCCTGTCAAAAATATTCCAAAACCAGAAACCTATTAGTACATTTTGAGGGCCTCGTAGTTCTGGGCGCCGACTTCCCAGCGAGACATGTTAGCGTTGGCCATGCTCGGCACTGAGTCATCGGAGCAGTCCTTACTGCAGCGGAGGGCAGGCTGACGCCAGCGTGAAAGGCCGGTGAAGGGCCCCTGTGCCGTGACACGTGGCCGAGCGGCCAAAGGATCTGCTGGCAAAGACTCCAAGAGTGGGCGCCGTCCGAAGAGGACCGCCTGGCCGACGGCAGCGGCATGCGGTGTAGACTCGTGTAGACCTCTAAGAATCCGCCTGTTCTCACGGCCCTGGTCCTGGCCTGCGTGCGGGCCGAAGAACTTGTACGGAGAACAAACCAAGAAATCGCAGCCTGAACAGATTGGAGCAGTTGAATCATTCAGATGTACTTCGTACTTACAGCACATGGCAGTGACGGCAGTGTTTTGCATCAACACTGGCGGCTTCAGGTATCCTGCTTTGCCCAAGCCGCGGGCCGATGCGATGCACGTTGACGTGACCGTGAGGAGCATAGTGCACAGCCTCCGCTCAGACCAACGCGGCCCAAGCAAAGGGGGTTGCAGCACACACGGTACCAAAATCTGGCCAGGAGGCATCCACAAACGTCAAGGTGCGTTGGTTACCTGTGAAAGACTGCTTATCTCTGGATACGAGCGACCAAGCACTCGGCGCAGTAATCAATAGAAACACATGCTTTGTGGCCGCGGGAGCCGCCTCAGACGGTGTTGGGTCCATTCACGATGTCCACTGCCAAACTGCGAAAGAGCTGTCAGAGGAAAGGGCCTCGGCTCCAAGCTCCCGAGCAAGCTTCAGCCAGGGCCACACATTGGCACCGCGGCTGATGGGGTCGAGCACTATGTTGCGAATGCCCAACGTGGCTGATGTGGCTTCCGAGGCTGCCAGGCCTGGCCCCAAGGCTCGGGCCAGGTGAAGGACCAAGGCCGTCATGCTGGCGCCAAACACGACCTCCTGGGGCGCATCACATCCCAGGAAGTCGGACATCGCCAAGCGCGCCGTGGACACGGCCGCCTCGGCCCGGGAGCTGGACTCGTAAGCACCACCAATGTTGGCGATGCCATAGGTCAACTGATCCTGCACAGCTTGGATGGCGGATTCATGGAGCTGCGAGCCACTCGCCCCATCCGCCAGGACCGGTGCATCCCTCAGACCACTGCGAAGACCTGGAAACTCCTTCCTCACGGTCTCGCACAGCTTGTCATGGTCGTAAAAGTTGAGAGAGCGGACGGCTTCGTAATGGGTCTCAGGCTCGAAATATCTCGAAATCCAAACGAGCATAGGAGAAGAAGACCACATCGCGTTTCTCGACCGAAACGTTTTCGCCTCCTCGGTGCAAGATTCGGTCATCGAAGATCAATGCACTGCCCGCATCCATCTCAGCAGCGATTGGAAACTGCGTGGCTCCGATTTTTTCTGGGCCATTGCCGGCGCGCTGGTAGAGGCTCTGCGGAGAACTGCGCTGTTGGATGCAAGTGGTTGGTGAGGACGTGAGATCCGGGCACAAGCTCCGTGGGCCCCATCTTCTTCGAGAGATTCCGGGTGGCCACAAGAACGTTCAGCAGGTGGGGGCCTTTATGCTCGGACGACACATGCGGCGAGTCGGCGTGCCAGATCTGGCGCTCGGAGCTAGGTAACGCACGCACTGTGCCGGCGAACACCCTTCGGCTTTGAGGCCTGATTTCGGTTTCCGCGAGGAGCTCGTTGGCAATACACTCGAACTTCTCCAGCAGCTCCGTCGGGAAGTGTGCAAAGTCGCAGGGAACGTCGCATCGGCAGGGAGACCGAAGCACGACCTTCCATGTTGCGGAAAGCTTTAACACGTGTGACCAAACCACGAAAAGCCACGTGCAACCGACTCTGATACTCCAAGGTCGCCAGAACGAGCAATTCTAGAGGAGGCTACCTCCGCCTAACATGACAAATCAATACAACTAGGAAAGCTTTAAGAAACATCAAGCATAGAAGCCCATACGGAAATGGCAAAAGCATGGAAACGATGAACCTAACATCCGTAATGTAAATTTTAAATTCTGAAAACAACCCCTACAGCTCTAGCCAACTTGGCTACTGATGTTCGAATCACGCAACAGCCCAGTCCATGGTCATGCTCTGGTTGTCTTATGTTCCGTCCTCATTTCTCCATTTGCAAGGTTAATACTAAATGGCTACGCTTCAACTGCCTGCCCGGCCTCATGGAAACCTGCTCGACTGCCCACCGGCAGATCTACGCCTTTTGCACGGAGCATTGACAGCACTCGTTCACTGTTGGAAGTCGCTGGTGTAGTAAGCCCACGGAGTTCATCGGGAAGGAACAGTCCGTGCAACAAAACAAAACCATGCTGCAAAATGCTCTGTGCTGCCAGAGCTTTGTAACCAGGGTAGCTTTCACATTCCAAGTGCTCGCAACAGGTGTAGCCACAACAGCTTGTGATGATGATCTGCGAGGATTGCTTGATGTGGAGGCTAAGCATCGCCACTGCAGGGACCGCATCTTGCGGAGCGGGCACATGTTTGTTTACGAGCACGTTAGCTCTTGAACCACACTTCAAGCGATGCATAGACTTTGGCGACGCAAACACTGCGTGTGCGCAACACTAGCGAGTGTCCACAGCATCTAGCTGGTTGAGTCGTTCAAGCAACTTGCCAAGTGCATGTTCCACACTGTAGACGGCTGCAGGAAGGCTCAACGCAATGACAGTCCACAACTGCATGTTCACAAGCCACAAGTTCAAGCCAGCAAGCTTCAGCAAGCTATGGAAATCACGTTTTATGCTCGCTGCACGCGCTAGACTCATTGATTCGATGCCGGACAGCCCGGCTTTCAGCTGCACATCATTCCATGCATTATGCATTGCATTCACAATGGCTCAAACGTGCCTCAAATGAAGCGGCTCACCGAAGCACGCAGTCAAAGCTGGATAGTGGTATTATACGTAGGGTGAGTAAGGTAAGCGTCAGAAGCTGTTGCGGTGGCTTCGTGAAGCCTACCGTGAAAAGGACGCCCACATCTTCTGTTGGCCGCCGTCCAAGCGGGTAACAATGAGAGGCTGAAGGACCTCGCTGAAGGATGGGGATCTTTCACCACGCGTCTGCGAGTCGGATCTCCGTGTCGGACCACTGGGACCACTGGGATCCTCAGAGTCCAAGTTGCCGAGCTCTCTCTCTCTCCCACTCTCTCCCTCTACCTACCCCCTCTGTCGCTAACCTTTCTGCAGCCAAGGCATCCATGGGTGGCTTGCCCAAGTTGGAGCGGCTGTGGTGTCGGCTCTGCACCTGAAAACATGGCCATCCATGTTTTGTTCTTCTTCTATCTCTAGTCCAGGTGTGAAAAAAAACCTTGATTGCAGAGTGACCCCAGACCGAAAAGTAGTGACAACGGGGTTGAATTGAACAGGTTTCGGGAGGGAACGCACCTGTGGAGCACTGCCCACCGTCCGCGCTTCTGTGGGTGACGGACCGTGCGAGGAAGGCCGCAGCGGCAATCAATGCGGAACTTCCACGACACCCGGGACACCCGGCCGCCTTGAGCCCGGCCTGGAGGCCAGGAGACATGGCTCGGCTCCGGGAGCGCGACGCAGCCCTCACCGCACTTCCAGCCCCCGTCGCCTGAAAGGACTGGCCATGCGCACACCAGCTCTACTACCTACCCCCTACTATGCGCTTTGAGTGAGCCCTGCCAAGGGGCCGAAGAGTCTTCCGCCGCTGCAGCGCCCAAAGCCATCAGACGCGAGTCCGGCGCCTGGGTCACGCTTAGTCTGCCCCGAACTTCGGCATCCCGGCGGAGAGATCTTTAATCGATTTCAAGCTCGACTGTGAAGGCTGAGCGGGGATTCGATTGCAAAGCAAGTCCGTCGCCTCCGCCAAAGCTGCGCACAGCAGCTTTCGCGGACTCACTTGAACCTCTGCATGCAGCAAAGGGTTCATTTCAGAGGTTTGTTGCAGAGCCTTCGAACATGCTGCTTCAATTTCATGCTTCTTGCAGCAATTCTTGCAGCCTCGGATACTTTTAAATTTGCTGGGATTGTACGGCGCGCAGACGTGATATTGCACGCATTCAAATTCAAGCTTCCTCCGGCGGACAGACCCGACTTCTTTCGAAGCGCAAGCTCCTTGCTTAAAGCCACGCCGCCTTAGCTTCGGCTTCCCCAACAAACCCGCTTCCAGGCTACGCTCGCCTCGCAGTTGGATCCCTTTTTTTTCTTCGTGAAATCATTCGATATCGCTGACGCTCAACGCTCGATGCTCGATCGCGGCGGAGGCATCTGTGCCTTGCGACAATGTTTCTTGATGTCTCTCATTTCACGACAGTTCTGGTAAACGACCGTCCTGCAGCTGCATTGCACGATTTCTCGGCACAAAATATTGTCCTAAAGCCTGAGTTTTGGTTGCGCGCCACCGGACTTCGCAAGGCGCGTCTTTGAAATGCCGCATTTTCAGGCATCTCGGAACATCAGATGCTATCGCAACTGCATGCCGTTCGGGGGTGATCGAGGAAGGGCTGCGCCTCGCCCAGAGAAAAGCGGATGGTCTCGCTGGAGAACTGGTTGCACCTCGTCCCCGCAGAAAACACAACTCCCCAGACTCACCCCCAATTCGCAGGCATCGGGCGTGGCCAAAACCGCGATAAGCTGTGGCCGAATAGCATCGCTGTCCTGTCCATGCCGAGAAAGCCAAGGTGCACACGACAAACTAGCAGCTGCTTCACGCACTGGCAAAGGATGCAAGGCGAGGATTGAATGCCCGGCCGATTGGATTTTAGAACGACCCGATGTGCAGCAGACGTATTCCATGTACGTCCGAAGGGTTGTCACACATAATCTGCAGTGCTCTGTCAGCATTGCAGGTGGTTCCTGTAATGCACAGCTCCACCAACCTTGGAAAAGGCGCAAACGAGCTGTTTCCAGACGATGAAGCGAACAGCTCTGAATCTTGAGCTGCTGGTAACTTCCAGGAGATGATTCGTCCAGAAGCAACGGGGCCAGGAAGATTTCGGCCAGGTGAAGTCAGCCCTACACGATGCAATGTGGATAGTGCCTCCGAGTAGGCTAGTCGACAGTCGCATTCGCACCTGCACTCAAGGTGCACCCACAAGATCCCAGAAGCACCGAGCCACATGAACTCTGCTTGGATTAGGAACACTACCGCTCAGCCTTGAGTGTCGCAGACAGCCCAGACGGCTTACAAATTTAAATTCGCTTCGAGCACGCACCAGTTTGATGCGTCGCTTCAAACGGCAATCGCCCAGGGCAGATTGCCAAAAGCAAGTGCTGCCCCTTCTCTCGCTTCTTGAGGCTATTGAACAACTGTAGCCGTAGATGTAACTGCTTGCAGCTAGCCAAATCACCGTATCGGGCAGCTTCTGATGAAGATGGCAACATTGCAGTGAGTGGCTGTACGCACTGTCTGTCCGACCGTGCACAACCCATTTCCCTCTCACGTGGAAAGGAGTGTTCTAAGCGTGGTGCTCGCAGCCTCATCTGACGTGAACAGCACACGTGTGTCTGGAGGGCAACACCGTCACTTGCGCAAAGACGTTCGCGCTCACTTGCGCAAAGAGCTCCCCGCTCACTTGCGCAAAAACGCAAAACCAAGTTTTAGCGGCGTCAACACGAAAAGTACCTTTTGGAGGGTTTTGGGGCCGTTTTCAGGCAACCCTCCGAAGCATCGAAAACGTACAATTGGAGGCAGTAACAGCACGTATTCGAGGTCATCCTGCGACGCGTGCAACGGCTGCAAGCAGCAGTTTTCTTGAGGCTTGAGGGGGGGGTGGCTGGCTACGTTCCGCTTTGGCGCGTCGATGTGAGCGAGTAGTCTGGGCTAAGCAGGCATAGCCAAAAGGGAATGTCAGTTTCGTGGGTCATGTGGGCACCGGATGCAGGGCATCTGCTGGCGGCCTACATCGTTTTGACGGGTTCTATGGCGGTACCGCTCTAGAGAATGCTCGAAAGCGCAGAATTGGAGGCCCGAAAAGTACGTATTCGAAGGTATTTCACGACGCAAATGCCCCTACGGCACGCAAGAAGAAGCTCGCAGGCGGCATATGACTTTCCTTTCAGGCAAGGCTCGGTCACAGTCCGGGCTAAGCAAGCATAGTTAAAAGGGAACGTGGGTTTGGTGGTTCAGGTAAGCAACCGATACACGGAATTTGCTGGCGGCCGCACGTCGTTCTCAAAGGTTCTGTGGCGGTACCGCTCTAGACAATGCTCCAAAACGCACAATTGGAGGGCTCAAACGTACGTATTCGAAGGTATTTCGCGACGCAAATGCCGTTGTGGCATGCAAAAAGAAGCGGGCAGGCGGTCTATGACGTTCCTTCTAGGCAAGGCTCGGTCACTGTCCGGGCTGTGCAAGCATAGCTACAAGGGAACGTGGGTTTCGTGGTTCATGTCAGCACCGGATGCACGGCACCGGATCCACGGCCTCTGCTGGCGGCAGCACCGGATGCACGGCACCGAATCCACGGCATCTGCTGGCGGCCCACCTCGTTTTGACGGGTTCTGTGGCGGTACCGCTCTGGAGAATGCTCGAAAATGCACAACTGGAGGCCCGAAAAGTACGTATTCGAAGGTATTTCACGACGCAAATGCCCCTACGGCACGCAAGAAGAAGCTCGCAGGCGGCATATGACTTTCCTTTCAGGCAAGGCTCGGTCACGGTCCGGGCTAAGCAATTAAAAACGTGGGTTTGGTGGTTCAGGTAAGCAACGGATGCACGGCATTTGCTGGCGGCCGCACGTCGTTCTCAAAGGTTCTGTGGCGGTACCGCTCTAGAGAATGCCCCAAAACTGCGATGCCTAAATCGGCCGGGTTCCTACCTACGGCTGCCGACGGGGCTCAACGCAGGCACGCCTCTTTTCGGAACCCAAAAAGGGCTGCGGTGCGCAGTGGTTAGCGTAACTGTACAAGTGCAAAAGAAACACACAGGGGTAGCCTAGCTAGCTCAAGCCCTTGGGTGTTGGGTAAAGGGATTCCTACGGGATTTCTCGCACCCCCCTCCAATGCCGAGGGCTTGGCGGTAATCCCCGCTCGGGCGGTCCCCTCCTGCACTGCCTAGCCGTCACGTACGAAGTGATGGCTTCTGCAGTGGCTGCAGACTGGAAGCTGCCGGGCCCACCCGCGTATCTCCGTGCAGTGTGGAAACACGTGCGGCGTGTAGTCTTCCCCGACCACAAGAAAGTGAGTGAGATCCTCCCACCTGTGGCCAATGATCATTCCACCCCAACAGGTGAAACAGAGATTCTCGGTGATAATCCTGCCTTGGGGCACCGATGCCAGACCGACGCAGTTCCTGTAGAGGTGAACCGTGCGCCTGGTCGGGGCGTCGTACAGTTCCCCAAAGTTGTGCTGCGGCACAGGGGGAAGGCGCGTTCCAGGTTGGAGTCGGCGGCGCCTTGCCCGCACCACCCCGTTGACGAGGTTCTGGGGTGCCGCTGGCGGTGGCGGGGCTGCCGCATCGGCGGCTGCTCCCGCATCCCCGTCGTGAGGCTCTGGAGTCGGGGGTCGTAGGTCTCTAGGCGGAGCCGCCCGCGCCGGAGCGCGGAAGGGGTCTTCGACTGCTACCGGTGGCGTGGCCACCTCCTCCGGGACTTCTTCGCCCCCGGGTTCTTCTGGTAGCTCCTCCTCGGGTTCCTCTGTGGGTTCCGAGGGTTCCTCTTCGGGCTGCCGGCCTGTCGGCTGCCTCAGCCGTCGCAGCGCTCGGCTGCACCACCCGGTCACCGTTCTTACCACAAACCACAGGATAACCAACCAGGTAAGGATACCCAGCAGCATGGTCGCTTGCAGGGCCCATTGGATGATCTCCTCTTCGCGTGGCTGTGCCCTCACTCCAAGGATTTGGTCTGCCAAAATGGCGTTGACGATGGCTATCGTCGGCCTGAAAGTGAACAACTTTGACACCCCATACATGTATGATTTTGGTAACAGTAAACACACGTGTACAGTAGTAGCTTTTGACTCTAGTTTGCACTTGAAAGACCTTTCGTTCCGCGTTGCTCGAACAATCTCAGAGTGAGGTTGAAAAGTGTGGGAACTTGTTCATGGTAGCGGAGCTCCTGGCCGTCCAGGGGTTCCGACACACGTGGGTGAGCTTCCTTTCGGGATTTCCGTTCGGGGGCCATCGGGCTGCGAGCTTTTGCTTCTGTGGGTTTAGGGGACAGCTTCGGTGAAACTGTAGTGTTTCTCGAGCGCCATAGCCGGCGCCTCCCCTTGGAACCACGACCACAGAAGGCAGCGTTGAGGCTGTCAAGAACAGACTGCTTGAGTTTTACGTAGAACAACTTGTGCAGAGGGAGCGGCCGACCAATCGCACTGCAGAAGGTTGGAACCGCATTGTTGCTACGCAGAGAGAAGGGTTCGAGGCCCATCTTGCTTCACTGACCACTGTTCAGCAGGTTTTCCAGTTTGGTGAGAGGTGCCTGAATGAAAGTTTAAACCCTTAAACCAGTATCCTTGTTACAGCACGGCGCGAGCTTCGGATTCTTTTCTCACTACTCGCTCTGCTGTCAGGCTGTCTTGAGCCTACGTTTGACCTACGGAGATACGCAGTGAAACTGGCGGTAAATTGGGCTTGAGGGAAAATTGAACATTCTGTTACGCCCTCATCGTATACACAGCTTTGTCGTGTAATACGATCTTGTGAAACTTTCCTAATCTTTGTACTACTTCTACTTCTGTTTTCGCATGCTCCTGTGAGCCTGTATCTTCTCTTCTCGCACGCTTCTTTGAGCACTTTTGAACATCTTTCTTTTCCTTCTTTTGGTCTTCATCCTCAATCTTCATATGTCCTATAGCAGATTTGCGAATTTGCTTTCCACACACATTTGGCATGGACTCACTCCACTCTACGTGCACACTCACTTTTTCTGTACGTCGCTGTACGCGAGATAGTCGTAGTCCATCCTTGCCCTTCGGCAATCTGGAAACTTTTGTCGGACTTCTGTCTTTAGTCCTTTTGTAAACATTGGTCTTTTGAATTCATCGTGGTGCTCGTAGTGCTTTGACGTTGCCGTGTGACTTTCGTCCACGTGGCTTTTGACTTTGTCGTTGCCGTGGGATCTTTCCATCCTCGTGGCTTTTCGTAGCTTCTCCAAAGCTTTTGTGAAACGTTTTGCCTTGGCTGATTTCAGCCTCACTTTCTTGCTGCTGCTGGGCATTTTTGTAAACGCCCTCACTCTCTTTTGCTTCTTTAAACCAATCTTACATGTCGCCGTTGCGCTCCTTCACGGTGCGGCTTACTCCAGCTCTTGCTCTCCCTTCTGGCGCTTCTCAGCTCTTGCTTGATCGAACGGAGATTCGCTCTTACGCTTCTTCTCCTTTTCAACCTTTTCATCCTTCTTGGTTTTCTCGGCCTTTTCAGCTTTCTTCTCTTTGTCCTTGTCCTTGCTCTTGGACTTTTCCGCTGGCTTCTTCTTCTTTGGCTCTTTCTCTTCTGCTTTCTTCACAGTCTTTTCTTCAACCTTTGCTTCATCACTTTTCTTGGGCTTCTTGGGTTCTGCTCCCCAACTGTCTTTTGGCGTGTATCCTATGCCCAATGTCTCTTGGAAGTCTTTCAACTCCTTCTCATACTTGTATGCATTGTCTTCCAGGTAGGTCCTTACGCTGTCCTTGTAATTGCAGATGTCTGGGGTATGGGTACCCCAGCCGGTACATCTGAATGACCTTCCGGTCACCTTCTGGAAGTAGATATAACATACCTTGCAGAAAATGCGTCTTTCGTTGTTTGAGCGATCTGGCCTTTCGCCCTTGTAATACATCTTAATCGCGTCCTCCATCAAAGGACAATCGGGCGCTTT